CGGGCACTCGTCACGGACCGAGAGCCCGACAGTATCAGGAGAGAGGAGGGGACCCGGGGGCATACCTCGTCCCGCCGGGTGAACATCCCCTCCTCTCTCTGCCGGCGTCCATCACCAAGACAGCCGCCGGCAGGCGTCAATAGGATGGCCGTGCATGCGTGATGATGATACGGCCTTGGGGTGCCCCTGGTGGGAGGAGTTATCCTGGACTGGCCACAGGTAAAAGACTCCCTGTGTCCTCCAATGAACTCCAAGAAAAGGTTTTTATAGGGAGTATTTTTAGCCCAAAAAGCCTCCTTTCTCTTCTGTTCACTGAAGTACACAGCAAAGATCAGAAGATCCTGATAACGGGGTTATACTGCCACCTGCAGGAGTAGGACCCAGAACACAGAGAACACCCCCTTCTGGTTGCCAACATCTTGTTTGCTAACACAGCCTCAGCCTAATTCTTCAGTTTGCCCAGTGTCAAGGATTTAGGACGTCAGATCCATGCTGGGGTTTTTTTGTTTTCCATTTTTTTGGCTTTTCCCAAAGTTTGTTTTTCCTTCAAATTCTTTGTGACCAAAATCTCCTCCTAGACGTTCCCCCTTCAAACACAAAATGTGGTCCTGGATTGGTTTCCTGCACTGGAGCGGCCACAATAATCTGGGCTCCGTGTCTGGTCCCAGGGGCATCCCGAGGCCGGGTGTCACCTGGAGTGGAGACTGGGTGACACCCCGCCGTGACGTCATTGCACATGCGCGGTCATCTTATTGACGCCTGCCGATGGCCATCTTTGTGATAGACGCCAGCAGAGAGAGGAGGGGACATTCACCCGGGGCGGTAAGTTATGCCTCCGGGTCCCATCCTCTCTCCTGACACTGTTGGGCTCTCGGTCAATGACAGAGTGCACGACTGTCGGGTCATTTTGGTGTCACCCCCTCCAAAGGTGGCACCCCCCTTGTAACGCCACTGTCCGGTCCATTGGTGAGAGAAGCTTCCTCCCCGTCTTGTACATGACAGATAACAATATGCACGATCGATGTTTTTGTATGGGGGAGGCGTGTGTGTGTGCACTGATTGTTCTCTTTTATAATAACCGGTTCTCTTTATTCTTTGTAGATTTCCAGAAGAAGCAGCCAGACGATGATCCCACCCCCAGCACAAGCAGCAGCCAATCAGACTTATTCCCCAGCGAGATAAACAGCGACAACGGAAATACCTCGATATCCTCGCAGAGCAGTAGTTCTAGCCAGCCTCTCTCCACAGACCTGAATGTAGCCTCCCCCAGCCAGGAGGAATGTGAGTTCCCTTTTACGCTTTACTTATCATTTGCACATTGTCGCCATCTTTGCTCTTCCAGGTTTCCATGACGACCTGTCAAATAAACCCTGAAATGTTAATTGAAATTAAAGCCGCAACTGACCTCAGCACTTAACAAACTCGCCATTGTTCTTTATAGAGCCGGTACAAAGGTCGCCGGCCCCGGGTTTTCGGGTGGTTATGTTACCTTGCAGGCTCCTATGGAACCCCACTGTGACCACCCTTTTGTCCGTAATCCTGGGAGAGACTACAGGGTGACATAGGATGTTGCCTGCACTGACATGCACAGGCAGCCCAAAGGACTAGGCAGAGCATGCATGATGGTGCTTGGAATTATGGGACGTGTAGTCTCAAGGACGGGGAACTGATGACATTCTATGAAGTTACAAGTCCCCCTCCCCCCGACTGGAAGTTTGTGGAAGCTGCACTTGTAAAGAGATTAAATCGTAAGTGTCTGGATCTGTTTTTTGGAAACAAACATTTAGGGGTGTACTTACGAACAATTCACCGAGCCATTCATCCTGTGAGTCTCTGTGAGCGTGCATCCTGTGCGAATAGAGGCCAAAACCAATGTTGTTGTTCTGTTTTCTTTTTAAAGGAGTGTTGGGAGAGTAAAATATACTCTTGCCAATAGTTAGAGCCGGCATGTAATACTGCAGCTGTCACATGTTGGCTCTGTAGCTCAAGAACTGTGCGATCACAAAGCACTGATCGCTCAGCTGGCGGCTTTTCCCCGCAGAGTGGTGATTGTCAGGTCAGCACTGCCCACAGGCATTCCCCCTTCTCCTTTCTCTGTTCTTCCAGCAGTAGCCCACTATATGCTGACTTAAGGTCACAGGAGTATATAAGCAAATGTACTCCCGTGACCCAAAAGAATACTAAAGCCACAAAAAAGGTTTGGCCGTAGTTCTCTTTTAAGTTGACTGTAATGCAATACCACATTATGGCCACTAGATGGCTCTGAGGAGCTTAGGGAAGAAGTATTTCCTGTGCTCCTCGGCTCCATCTTGTGGCCATTATGTGGTATTACATTTCATTTATTTACTAACAGCGTTCATTTCACAGGAAGAACGCTCACAGAGATTTACAGGGCTAATGGCTTGGCGGATTGTTCCCGGATAGATCCGTTATTGTCTTCTGCTCAGTTGGTGTACACAGTTATAATTGTGCTACAAATGTCACAAATGCCTTTACATCCATGAAAATCTTCAGTGAGCTGGTTGCAGTTTGGCAGTAGATCCATGTAGGCTTCTATGGGGCCATCTTCCAAGACCAGAGACACTCGGGAGATGGTCCCATAGAGTTCTTCGCAGGTCAGAGCTGTGAAGGAGCCATGGGATGAAGGTTAGTATACCTGTGGAGAGAGTGGGGTGTGTGGAGAGGGAGGGGTACTTCAAGTCAAGAGGTGCATAAAGGTTAAAAGTACTTCAAAGCTCCCTTGCTCTCCTGTATCCAGGATATGGACCATGTCAGGACTTTGGAGGCTCTTGTCATTGTACAAGAAGATTTCCACCTGATATGTGTTCCTCCCCTATGTATGCTGTCTTCCCCCTATTGTTGTACTATGTATGCCTATGTTATTCCATGCATAAATGACGAAAATAACAAAGAATTTATAAAAAGAAGATTCCCACCCATTGGAATGTCTCTCCACAAATGCCTACCGATCCTTCATATCTCTGCACAGCGTGGACTGCTGCTGGTGCCGGGTACATATCATCCACTTGTTGGGGTGAGTGAGGATGAGCAGATCTCTTCCAATCCCTCGTTCTTGATGAGATATTTACTCGTCCATGAAGAGCAGACGCACATTTCCCCCCTAATTGTCCTCTGCGTATAACTGGCAATGCAGCTTTTTTACAAATAATTTATTGTTTGAAAGAATACAAATTCAGCATTACATTAGAGGAGCCATAAATCTCCATCCGATTGTCTCATCGTGATATAAGCTTGAAATACTTGTTTTGTTTTTTTTGCGTGCAACAAAATCCGCGTGATAACATGCCTAGGTGCGAGGCTAGGTTCACACCTGCACTACACCGCACGACACCCGGGGCTGCGCGATCGTGTGCTGGTGCACACAGCGATTGCCACGCGGCCTCATTGATTTCAATGGGGTGACATCCACGTGGCAATCGCTGGAAAAAGGTACTTTTTTTTTGCAACACACGACTCGCGGCTTAGCCGCGATCATGTTTACTTGAACGGGCGGAATCGCGGTGATCCGACTGGGGTGCCATTAGAAAATAATGGCACCCACAGTGCGGTCGGTTCACAGTGCGGTGGCGACTCCTGACCGCGCGGCAATTGTGCATAAAATTGTGTGGATGGCCGCGAGGTCAGGAGTCGCCAAGGTTTGAACCGAGCCTAAATATCAGATTATTGTAATCAAATCTTATTCTCTAATGTTTCCGTCGTCATCCTGTATTATCCCCGTTATTGGAATGCCTGGACCCAACCATTGCTCTGTGTGGGGGGAGAGGGGTTCACATGTAGGCTCCTTCCAGGATGGGACAGTTCTATCCGGGGGTGGGGGGGGGGGGGGGCCTCTTCCACACGAC